GTAGTATTACTAAATTAATAAAATGATTATCAAAGAAAAGAGCTGGGCGTGTCGAGGGTTCTGTTAATTGGGACAACTGTGGCGAATACATTCAATACTTGAACTCATCACGAATTGCTTCAAGAAAATATATCTAAGTGGTGACGGTGGAATTTGCGGCTGACGACCCAGTTGCTCAGATTACCGAAGCATTTAAACAAATAATACTCGTAATTGCATACGCTGCAAACCTGACCGCATCTTTGTCGATGTCAGAGAAACAGACACGACAAGCAAAATCCACAAATCGTCTACAAATCTAATAACTTATTTCTAATTCTTAGTTCGTTCAGTAGTAGCTTCGAAGGCTCGATTTTAAATTAGCGTGTCGAATATAATGTATTTATTCTCTCTTTCTAAATTGTTCCTTCACATAGGCAGTAATCTAATAGTAAAGCGAATATTTTAATATATTTTTGAACGGTTTTTGACGATTGTCATCGTGACCGCCCTACAGAACCGACTTCAGAATACCATTTGCGACGATTCCTCGGGATAAAAATTAACGTATTCGTCAAAGAAGCTTCGAGGTTAACTTCTTAGAATACTTAGATACGCTTTAGTATCCTGATTACCCATTTACCCATGTTATATTTATTACCAATGTTACCCTAATGTTATATATATTTAGAAAAAATAGGCGCTTTTTACAACAAGTCAATTCCAAGATCCATTGAATGTTACTTTGTTGAACAGTTTGTACGTGGCACATGTAATTGTATCTATTCTTAACTGTGACCTATTTCTGTTGATTGTGGTTTCGCCAAATAAATTGAACCTTGGCCAATAATTACTAGAGTTGAGAGTCGCAACATCTCTGTTATGCGCAATCTCTCTAGATATATCAAAAAAAGTTTTGTAGGCCTTAATTTGAAGTTACATAGCCTATGTTCGAAAGTTTGAAGTCGTCGTGGCCTAACGGATAAGAGTCCGGTGCATTCCTGTTGAGCGATGCGCCGGTGTTCGAATCTCAGGCGGGTACCAATTTTACTAATGAAATACATACTCAACAAATGTTCACGATTTACTTCCACGATGAAGGAATAACTTCGTGTAAGAAAAATGAGACCCGCAAAATTATAATTTGCGTAATTACTGGTGGTAGGACCTCTTGTGAGTCAGCGCGGGTGGGTACCACCACCCTGCCCATTTGTGCCGTGAATGCGTAATGCGTTTCGGTTTGAAGGGGGGGGCAATCGTTGTAACTATACTTGTGGATGTCTATGGGCTCCAGTAACCACTTAACACCAGGTGGGCTGTGAGCTCGTCCGCCCATCTAAGCAATAAAAAAAAGTAAATTGTAAATATCTATCGGTTCACGTTATAGACAAAGAAGAGAAATATGTTTGTGCTGTTTGTTTAAATGAGTAGATATATCTTTAGAAGAGGAACGAACTGAACAATTACCTTTGAAATTCAATCGTATCGTGTAGTCCTGTAATATCGCCTTGACTAAAACATTTGACCACAAACTTAATTTTAATACAAAACCATCAATCACATTTAGCTGGACTAGATAAGGGGGGTAGTTTCCAATTTGAAGTGGTCGTAGCCTAAACGATAAAACGTCCGGTGCATTCGTATCTAGCGATGCACCGGTGTTCGAATCCCGCCGGACCGGCCGGTGCCAATTTTTCTAATAAAATATGTACCTAGCAAATGTTCACGTACGTTTGTGTAATTACTAGTGGTACTGGACCTCTTGTGAGTCCGCACGGGTAGGTACCGCAGCCCTGCCTATTTCTGCCGTGTAGCAGTAATGCGTTTCGGTTTGAAGGATGGGGCAGCCGTTATAACTATACTGAGACCTTAGAACTTATATCTCAAGGTCGGTGGCGCATTTTCGTTGTTGCTGTCTATGATCTCCAGTAACCACTTAACACCAGGTGGGCTGTGAGCTCGTCCACCCATCTAAGCTATAAAAATGCCTTTGAAGCATTAATCTAAAATACTATATTTCTGAACGGTATACATAATCCAGAATTACATTAAATAACGTTGCTATATAACTGTATGCTTAGTTTCTGAACGAACAAGTTCGCTCTACTATACCGGACCATTAAAACAAATTCTATATTTTGTTAAGTTAAAAACAAACAATATAATAATTGTATTTAAAGCGATGATGGCCTTGGTTTCGTGATAACGATTCACCTTTTTCCTTAGATGCAAATTAAGTAATTGACGTCAATGTGAATTTTGTCACACGGATTATTTGGTGACGCATAGAAAACAAACTACGATTTAATTTTTCGGTCTGGGCCGTACCTGGTCCAGAGATTGTCCATTGCCATACAGCTTGGCAATGCTGCTAGCGTAATGGGTACTTTTGGGCCGGGTGCGATCCAGAGTGGCACGTCCTTACGGATCCATCAGATCCAATAACCTTTGCATTAGACGCCCTCAGCTCTAACACTAGGAGCAGGCTTAGGGACCCCGGTAACCGTACTCGTCGAACCGACAAAGAGTTCGCCGTGCAACCTAACCCATGAATCAGCTCGCTGAGTTTCTCGCCGGATCTTCTCAGCGGGTCGCGATTCCGGTCCGGTAGTAGATTCATTCGCGAAGTAGCTGCTCTTGAGCTGTTAGGTCTCCTTCGGAAGCGCTCGGGTAGCTGTTAGCAAATCCCACCCCTCCTGGCTGAGCCTTTGCTCGCCCACCTGTCCTGGTGGAACTGGAAAGGCCTCCGGGCCACTAGGAATCATTCAATCATAAAAAAAAAAGATCCCGTGTGGCTTGTTTGAGTAGCCGATGCCTATGCGCGCATTGCTGTTAGCGTGGACCTATAGGTTACTTATGACGACGCTTGTAACTGAAAGTAAATATTGTACTTTTTGATGAAGCATGTTAAAAAAAAAATTACCACTTAGAACTGTTGATGTTATGTAGTCTTCGGTTTTCACGCTGGAATAGACAGATTGACAGTTTATAGCTGTCACCGAAATTCACATAACAATACGAACTACATAATGTATCTTGATGGCGTTCGCTCCTGGCCTTTTCATTTTTCATTATTATTATTTTTTTAATTGTATTTTTTGATTTGTTTGTTTCGTTTATTGTAAATATTTTTACTTATATAAAAAAAAAAAAAAATTGAGAAAAAAAGCAAAAAAAAGCCCGCTGTGTTTGGTTCGCCGGTTCTTCTCAGGACTGTTTATATTTTGACATTCAACAAGTGTGTTATAGTGACATCTAAGTAGAAATAAATGATTTTAAATTTTAAATTTTGAGACAGGATTACAAGTTTTATTCAGAGTTTTGTACTAACAAGTACCAGTGTCAATTCTAGTGTACTACTTAGTCTAGTCATTAGTGACTGAGACCACTGTAATACGGCTTCAATTAGAAGAAATATAACATACAGCGAATATGACATAATAAATTCATGAAAATACCAACAATATAAAACTTTGATCATTCTCGTCATTTCAATGTTAGAGAGAGAGAGAGCATATAGGTATACTTTATTGTACACTGGAACACAATTAACATTAAAAAACACCAACAAGCAAATATAGGACTGCTGGTAGGACCTCTTGTGAGTCCGCACGGGTAGTTACCACCCCGTGCCTATTTCTGCCGTGAAGCAGTAATGCGTTTCGATTTGAAGGGTGGGGCAGCCGTTGTAACTATACTTGAGATCTTAGAACTTATATCTCAAGGTGGGTGGCGCATTTACGTCGTATATGTCTATGGGCTCCAGTAACCACTTAACACCAGGTGGGCTGCGAGCTCGTCCATCCATGTAAGCAATAAAAAATGTCGTTTTAATGAAATACCTAACATATAATAAACAAATGAGTGTAATAACTACGAAAACCTCTAAATGTTCTCAAACACGAATGGCAACCTTCAAAATCGTAGACCGGATACCGAAATGATTCCCAGAAACGCAACGAACTTGACGACTCGAATACAAAAAACAGCGACTCACAAATGTGGTGTCAGATTTGTCTGGACTCCCGAAATTATTGGGCATGATATTATATTGTTTGAGGCTATTAAATTATTGAAATACACCCACGCGTATCGACCCTCATCTCTTACTGCGGAAATTTGTCTTTTCCCGTTTCTCTAAATAGACATTCTTACAGCCAGCTGATGCGAAGCTGTCATCGGAGCCCTTAGAGAGATTTGAGTGTCGATGAGACGAAAATAGGTTTCCGCGTCGAATTTGATATTGGTAGTAGTAGTATCTTGTGGGAGACCTATCCACGCTACGTCTTTCGGTACGCGGTCGCCAATCAAGAAGGTTCTGGCCCCAGCGGTTTTCCGTTCCACGAGCAATGTGTCCTGCTCACTGCCACTTCAACGAAATGGACCGACGATCTATTGAGGTTCGCGGGGATCCGCTGTATGCAGACAGTGCAGGACCGGTCTTTGTGGCGAGGCTGGGAGGAGGCCGTGTGCCGCAGTGGACATCTGGATTGGTCTTTGTGGAGAATTTGGAGGAGGCCTATGTGCCGCAGTGGACGTTTGTGGGCTAATAAGAAGAAGAAGAAGTATGTAGTAGTATTGATTTATTCCTCACCATTTTTATCTTCCTTAACTTTTGACTACTGACGGTTGTTCGCGTTGTATCAATGGGATGATGTGTCTCGCCTGTTTCAAATATTCACGCTTATGAAGGTCAGGACAGTTTTAATTCTAATGATATCAACATTCGCTTTTACATTAGGGTATCTAAGATTTGCAGCTGCCTGTTCTGATACTGGATAGTGTCCATCGGATATTGAGAAATTCATTCCGAAGTAAAAACTATCCCACTAAGTTTCTCAGTGGATCGTGTTTCCGATCCGGTGATAGATTCTGCGACAGCGTCTGCGTTTGACCACCGAGAGCTCACCTACACGCTATGGTAAAGCTGATACAGCCTCTCAAGGCTATCAGCAAAGGTAGCAAAAACAAAAAAAAAAACAAAAAAGGAAAAACATAACATTTTCTTTATCAAATTTCAGGTAAATACGAAACTCTCCTGGACGATGTTCTCCTAGCTCTGCACACGATCCAGGTGACTGGAGTGAATTTCCCGAGACTGACCAGCACCTCGGGCACCGCACAGAAACTCCACAAATACTACTCGCAGCTAGACTTACCGCTGATAAGGAGGTTATACAAACTTTATAAATACGATTTCAAAATATTCGATTACCATTTAGATAGTTTAGTCGGTTTTGATCTAGATTGATGTAGTTGTATGAAACAATCTGTAATTTAATACGATTTTTGTGAATGCGGAAGCACTTCAGGATAACGCAGAAACATAAGCGAACGATCCTTATAAAGTTTTATAGAAACATGCGGTGAGTAAATGTGCAGTATGACAATTGAAACTTAAAAGAAAAAAGAAATATTTTATTTGTACATACTGAACATTAACTATTTAGGGGTTCTCGTGTTTGCACTAACATGTGTCCTGTAGTGTTTTAAAAAAGTCTTAGATGAATTGTAAAGAATGCCGCTTACCATTTCATACAGTATGAAAAAAAAATATTCAAATATTTTTCTCATTTGATCATTTCGATCGTATTACACTGAACCTGAATAATATGTGACTAGTCCAACGAAATTGAAAATGTCGCTGTATTTCCTTCCATTATATTTAGAATAGTTTAATAAGTACAATGATTTCAATTATATAATTTCTAAATTATATTTTCACTGGGCATCGTGAAATTTCAGAGGTAATGTTGAGTTGAGTTCACACAAGTAGTTATTAATGTACTTACATGTGTATGTATATAATTAAATTTATTATTAGTATTTATAGTAAATTTATAGTAGATTTGTGGACTTTGCAATGTCGAATTTAACATTTTGAGTATGTTGAATAGCAGTAGTGTTGTATGTATAATAATTAGGGACGGAGCAAATAATATAATGATTTAATGAGTTCACTCAAAGCGCATTGATGCATTTTAACATTCTGATGCAATTATTTATTAACAAAATGAACAACAAAAAGGGCGAATTTATTAACAACAATCGCGTTTTAAAGAAGTCTCAATAGATAGATAGATATTTCTCAGAATAAAAAGTACATAGTAGAGTTCTACGCTATGTTTTAAACACTTTTAATACCTTCTATATCTTCTTAGATCTATATAAATATTGATTTCAAGTCGTCGTGGCCTAAAGGATAAGACGTCCGGTGCATTCGTATCTAGCGATGCAACGGTGTTCGAATCCCGCAGCCGGGTACTAATTTTTCTAATGAAATACGTACTCAACAAATGTTCACGATTGACTTTCACGGTGAAGGAATAACATCGTGTAATAAAAATCAAACCCGCAAAATTATAATTTGCGTAATTACTGGTGGTAGGACCTCTTGTGAGTCCGCACGGGTAGGTACCACCACCCTGCCTATTTCTGCCGTGAAGCAGTAATGCGTTTCGGTTTGAAGGGTGGGGTAGCCGTTGTGACTATACTGAGACCTTAGAACTCATATCTCAAGGTGGGTGGCGGCATTTACGTTGCAGATGTCTACGGGCTCCAGTAACCACTTAACACCAGGTGGGCTGTGAGCTCGTCCACCTATCCAAGCAATAAAAAAAAACGCAAATCGAAATGTCTAATATTAGGATTATTCTTATCACCTAGATCCCTAGAATCCTAAAAAGTAGGAAAGTCTGCATCAAAATGATATTATTTCCTTTTTGGAAACTGTCAGAGATCTCTCGTTCATTTTCGTGAATTCAAGTATGTATTTATTTCATCATTTTCAATAGTATATAAGTTCCATTTTGATAAAGTATTCGTTTTTATATTATAATTTTTTTCTTTTTGGTAAGTAAGTAATTATAGCGTATAAGTTTATCGTGAACCATCGCCACTTACCTCTACATTTTTTTTATAATCATTGTCAATATTAATTCCTTCCTTTCTTATAATTATTATTATCTTTAAGTAAATTCCTTAAGTTATTTTTTATCGCATATAATGTGTGAAATATTTCAAATATTAACTCGACTTGCCGTATTCGAAATGCGAACAGGGAACGCATTGACCTAGGGATGCACGAATTATTTTGTATTAAATCGATTTATTCGGATCGCATTGAATCGATATACCTCAAGTCCAACAATCAAACATCGAATACTCTTGATCAGGCTTTTAATAATCTATCCACAAAAAAAATTGTGTAGTGCGTTGTGATGAGGTTGTTGTTTGTGATATGAAAAATGTTTTTTTCCACAGACATTGATATATTTTTAATACCTCAAAAATCACTTACAGAGAAACAGTTTATAATTAAACACATATAGCTTTGAAATTATATCAATACTTAAAGTAAAGTAAACGGGATTTTTTTCATATTAGAGTGCTGACATAAGCGTGTCGATACGTAAAAAAAAATCTTTAGATCGTATACTTATATTTGACAATAAAAATCGAATAGTAATATGCTCGGCTCGTGCGTTCAGATCTAGTTTTCTACAAATTCACTGAGCGCTTAATTTTGTATACTAAGTATTCATTGTATCGTTTAATCTATTACTAGATGATGACTGAGCTTAGCTCGGTTTTTTTTTTTGATAACGCCATCTTGTTGTGTCTTTAAAGCGGTTAGTTGCCCTCAATTAAGAAAAATAGTATTATTATTCGCCAATAAATGTCGGGAGGGGTTGATTATTGAAAACACGAATAAAACAACATTTTCTGAAAATAAATTGTAGCTAGATCGATTTATCGCCCCCGAAATCCTCTGTATACTAAATTTTATGAAAATCATTGGAGACGTTTCCGAGATTCAGATTATATAAGTATACTAGCGACCCGCCCTCGCTTCGCTTCGGAAACATTAAAACACACATGAAACCAAAAAAAAGTTAAAAAAAAATAGAAAAGTAGCCTATGTTCATCAGGGACAATGTCGGCTTCTAATGGAAAAAGAATTTTTCAAATCGGTCCAATAGTTTCGGAGCCTATTCGAAACAAACAAACAAACAAATCTTTCCTCTTTATAATATTAGTATAGATATTAATATACAAGAAAAGCTCGTTTAAAGGTATAAGATAAGAGAAATGTGATAAGTAATGTTTTCCTAAGCAAATGCATCTACGTACATAAATACTAACTAGTACAATTATTATTTAATTTAGGTGCTTAACCGATGGTGCTAATTGTGTATTATATCCAAAACTTAATACACTTTTTAGGGGACTTGTTTGATATTATTAAGAATCATGATGTCTCATCGAGTGCTCTTAAATAAGATATTAGTTTTATCTTGACTTATGACGTTTAGTTGTAAAAGCGTTGTTTGATGACGCAATATGTTCTTCTGGAAAATTAAATCAATTAATTTCAATCAAAAATTTATTTGTTTCCAAAGTGAAATATGCGTATTACAGCGCGTCTAGTGGTTAGTTTTGTAGTTTACGTTTCGTCGTCCGTCCGCTAGGGGCACTTGGGGCGTTTTGAAGGGAAAAAAGGTGCTTTTATAATTTGTACATAATAAAAATGCGTCTTGCAGAAAGACAATATTAAACATATCTGATTTTTTTCTTAATCGTATATATAAGTATGTGCTCTACGCGTGTTTGTAGAGTATAATTTTGTCATCGTATAGGTAGTGATTATAATTTATTGATTTTATTTTATTTATTTCCTGGTACTTGTAAATAAATTGGTTACCTAAGCATAGGGTAGACCAATTTATTTAACCAATTTATTTCCATGTGCAGATTCCATATTATATTTGTTTGAAATAAGTAGTTAGAACGGTAAAACCGATTATTTAGCAACTCCTGTATATTTTTTTAGTTTTTGTTGTATACGGTGTGTTGTACGCGTAGTACTAAAGATTTTTAAATGAAATAAATTTGAAAGTATTCATTTCATAATTGTCTTTCAATTAATTTCTCGACTAGCGGCCCGCTCCAGCTTCGCTCGGGTCTTTAATAAAAAAATCCAAATTAACAATCATAATACACACACATCAACCCTTCTATTTGCGTCAACTTACTAAAAAAAGAAAATTATAAAGATAGTTTTGAATGATCTTGGGTTACATTATTGGAGTTATAGCAAGGATCCCGATTTAAAAAATATATATATATATAGCATATGTCACTCTGAGATAGCTTCCAAACAGTGAAAGAATTTTTCAAATCGTTTCAGTAGTTTCGGAGCCTATTCAATACAAACAAACAAATCTTTCCTCTTTATAATATTAGTATAGATTTCACTCAATTACTGCATTAACAGACATTAAAAATAATAAGAAGGCACTGAGTGAAGAAATGGTATATGCTAGAGGACTATGGAAGGAGAAAACATGTTGTGCCGACCCCAAGTGACTGGGAGAAGGGCAGGAAAATGATGATGATGATAAATCCCAATTTAATGACCCTGAATTAGGGTTTGCTCATGTCTACAATTATGAGTGCTTATTGCGGCACTTAAATATAATTTTTTTTCAGGGTTGTGACTACCTCGTTCTTTGTACAAGTTTCTTAGTACCTAACAATTGGGAGGGAAATCTTAGAGTAATTCGGCGTCGTGCTAAAACTTCCAATGGCCTATACGAAGTGACTTTACAGGGGCACGACTGACATTTCACTCCCTTCTGTCTTTATAAAAAAAAATTTCTTTGTCCTCTGTACTTACATACATAGCTATTATTTTAACGACGCTACTTGTGAGACTTGTGTGATATTATAACAACGTTTATTATCCAATACTATTAATTTTTAAACGAAGATGGAAAATTTATGATAGTAGTACCTAGCTTTAAAAACTAAAACCGGGCAGGATATTGGAGCGAAGTTACAAAATGATTGTTCTGTCATCAGTACGCACGCTTTTGAAGTCGGTGAAAATGAAGTTCAAAGATTACGCTACATACAAACTAACACGCAGAGCAAACTATTAAAAGTGCGTTAATTTTTACTTATTTAAAATAAAAATAAAATTGAGAAAAAAACAAAAAGAGCCCGCTGAGTTTGTTTCGCCGGTTCTTCTCAGGACTGTGGATTTTTTGGAACCGGTGGTAGAGCTAACATTGTTTTTATGTTTTGACATTCAACAAGTGTGTTATATTGACATCTAAGTTGAAATAAATGATTTTGAATTTAAATTTGAACGTTACCTATCACTTGTACACAGCAATTCGCTACCAGTCAATTCACGAAAAAACTAAATGTAGACCACTGTTATTTGCATCTATGTACACGGGTGTGCAACTCATTAGCATTTTGTAATACAGGAAACATGTGTCCTATTTTTTTTAACTATATCGCCTGTGAATCTACTTGTATTTTTTAATATATGGAAAATAAACGATTTTAAAAGTGGTGTAAATCCATTTTTGAGAAAAATGAGCTATCACGTAATTCATGTTTAATTTAATGTAAAGTTTTATATATAACTAGTCCGTGTTTAATTTCTCAAAAAAATCCCATGTTTTGTACAACTTAAAATCGGTCAGTAAATGAAATTGCATAATCATCAATTATGAAAGTGGTGTAAGTTCAATTGACAGAGGTAGGTGGCATAGCAGATGGATGTCGATCAGTGTTTTGTTATTTTTCATTTATTTTATACTAGGTGTGTCCCGCGGTTTCATCCGCGGACGATTTGCATTGTTTCCCCTCCGTGTATAATGTAATAGCGCAATTTAGGAAACAGGATAAATTCATTTTATATGAAATGAAACGGGAGAATTTCATTTCAATAAAAAATCTCCAAAATGCAATTAAAAAATAGATAAAAAAATACTAATGGGGAACAGGTCAATTGGTTGCAAATATGTTGGTTGAGGTTCCTCAAAATTGCACCATATACCATTTTTTATAAAACAACGATGACGGACGCAGAATTTAAAATTATCAATTTATTACTTCTACGTCCTGGAAAACCGTTAAAATTTGAAAAAATCGCCCTGGAGCCTTTGTACCAAAATGCCAGACTAATTACGTACGAAAAATATAAAGACATGAATCAGCTACTACCCTATATATCTCCGGTGCATCATGCATATTTTGAAACACTACCACATGCAGAGAATAAGTTAATTCTTGTAATCAGTATCTTGTAATGACAATGTAATTGCCGTCTAAAATAAAATTTTATGTGTTGTTATGCGTATTTGTAAACAAAATTATATTAAAATGAAGTATATTTTAAGCGATATTTGATTTTTCAAAATTGAAATTAAACGATTTTTACAATTGTCTAATTTTGATAGTGGTGTAAGTCCATTTACAGCACATAGATATGTGTTATCGTAGTCTAATTAGCCAAAAACAAATTTATATAAACAAATTAAATGTTGATAAAACAATAGAAACAATGCCAGACCTCATATGATTTGCCTGTATTTTTAAATCAACAAATATAGTAACCTTTAATTTTCTCGAAACAAAACAAAATGGACTTACACCACTTTCAAAATAAACGGCCCATATTTACATTATACAGCTTAAGGTTAATTTCTTGTTTCGTTCAAGTATATTCAGTTGAAAAAGTAAAGTCAATTCCGGAGTGTCGTTTTTTGATTGAAAATTCACGTCAAAATTTAGTATCGTACATACTTTTCTTCTTAATATACATTATACTTACATGTAGGGCTTTCTTTGTATTATTATTATTATTAAACTTGATCAATGTCATCAAGAAATTAGGTGGGAAAGGCTTTTCTACTTTTCTTTAATCTGATAGCTTTCACAGTTAAAATCAGGTATTTATCAGAGATCTTTGCCAAGAAAAATCAATTTAAAAATGGCTGTATTGTTTTGAACAGTTTATTTATTGGGTACGAGGTTCAACGAGGTCCGGCCCACCTGGTGTTAATTGTTTACCGGAGTAACATAAATATCACAGCGTGGATGCCGCCACCCACCCAGAGACATGGGTTCGAAGTACAAATCTACTCTGTTTGTCCACTACGCATTCAGTCAGCCGGTAATCATCTTGCGGTAGAAATTGACATGTTGGCACCTTTTTTTTTTCGAGCTCACAGCCCACCTGGTTTTTAAGTGGTTACTGGAGCCCATAGACACCACCCACCTTGAGATATAAGTTCTAAGGTCTCAGTCAGTTTTTTATTCCACAATTGTTGAAAACGAGTATACAGTCTACCTGAGATTGAGTGGTCATCGATATTTCATGCACAACAGCAATTCCAGGAGCACATCTGAGCCTACTTTTGATTTTAACTTCTTGTTTTATCGTCAGGTTTGAGCCCTGTGAGCTCACTTACTAACCGGGTTAGTAAGTGAGCTCACGTTATTCCTTCACCGTGGAAGTCAATCGTGAACATTTGTTAAGTACGTGTAAATACAGAAGTCAGAAGCATAGCAGATACCTTTGACGGCTTAGAACACAGCGTTCGGGGAACAGCTGTCCTCAGCGCTGGTCACACTTATAGCACGCGAGAGCTAGCTTTCTAAACTTTCTGCTCAATATAAATCTTCTCAGTACATTGTGTTAGGGACCGCACATATTCGTTGCGTAATATTCGTTGTCATACAAATTTTACAGATACATGTATTTATAACGCTAATATTATATACTGAATGACTTTGAGGGGCTCCAAATAGAGCCCCTTCTTTATTCAAGTGAAATTCGTGAAAGACACGTTTTTGGATCAGCTTGTAATTAACACCACAATCGAAACAAAGCTACTATGCTGTATATTTGTAGCGGTTTTTTTTATTATTTCTTCGTCATATTTTTGCGGTAAAATATCATGATGTCATAGACTATCTTCTTTTTTCAACCTGTCGTGCATTCCGGCTCGCGCATCATAAAAAGGTGCGTTCTTAAACGCCACAACTTAAATTAAATTATCTGCGAACTGTTGTTTAATAAAACTCCAAAATTATTTATAGCTTTAATTTAACAGATATAAAAAATATATTATTATATATCAAAATAAATTGTTTTTGTACACAGGCCTCAAACTTGACTCTACTAGAATCTATTCTAGCGTTAAAAGGACGGATTAGAAAGTAGGCAAAATATCATTAGGCATTTTACAGTATTGCTCCTTTAACTTTAGAAATATCTTTACAATAGGTTTCAATTTTACAATAGGTTTCAATTTACAATAGGTTTCGAATATATAGGATAATAGGATATACATAGGATATACAATAGGAAATAGCTTTTACAATAGGTTTCAATTTTGTTAATCCGCTAATTCATTTCAGAAAACTGGTTTCGGATTATCAAACCAGAAAAAAACGTTCGTTATTCGATTATCATCAATATTATGAATTCCATACAAAAAATGGGACACAAAAACTTGAACATCTAATATTAAGTCTTGGTATATTTTGCACAAAGTTAATTTACTCTATGATCCAATAGGCCTCAGATAATTCTGCCCAATAATATCGGCGGGCAGCTTGCAGTCTTTCCATGGTACAGCACGAATAGTCGAAATACCATCCTTAGGTAGTGTCACTGGAATACAACATTTGTTTTTATTTCGAGGCCGAGGAGGCTTTTCATTTGGGCAAAACCGTCTGCATAACTACTGTCAGTGTCATGATTCTGTCGGTTTTTACGGTGACGTCATAAGTTTCAGTATAAAAATGAAGCATCTGTTACATAATGTAATGAGACTTCCATCTTATGCCTGGTCAAGGTCAACGGCAACGCGCTTGTAGACAGCGTTGTGGTTAAACAGGCGAGTCATGATTGTCAGTGATACTTTAACCCATAGACACAGCCCACTGAGTTTCTCGCCGGATCTTCTCAATGGGTCGCGTTTCGGATCTGGTGGTAGATCCTGCGAAGCACTGCTCTTGCTAGGGTCAGTGTTAGCATCACTCCGGTTTGAGCCCCGTGAGCTCACCTACTAGTTAAGGTTACGCTGAAATAGCCTCCCAAGGCTATCAACTTAGGTAGAAAAAAAGTGATATTGTCAACAATGTGCGAATGGTCGTACCTGTCATGCCAGGAGTGAGCGTCACGTTGTATCTCCCGTCGTTCATGACTAACGGCCACTGGTCGTGTACCGACGACACCGTCAGCGTGACGCTGGTCGCCTGGATATGCATCGACAGACTCGATCCTAAATATTTAATACCTGAAAATTGTTCAGTACATTAACTAGTTTAACGGTAATACATCCGGTCATCGTCGAACGCTTGCGACGAGTAAATTAACCCACAGACACGGCCCACTGAGTTTCTAGCCGGATCTTCTGTGGGTCGCGTTTCCAATCCGGTGGTAGATTCTGCGAAGCACTGCTCTTGCTAGGGTTAGTGTTAGCAACGTCGTCACGCTTAAGCTCCGTGAGCTCACCTACTTGTTAGGGTTACGCTGAAATGGCCTCTCGATGCCATCAGCTGAGGTAGGAAAAAAACTCAAAAATAGTCAAATCTTGATAAAGTTTACGTTGGACCACATGAGAAGCTAGCTTTGAAATTTAAATAATTAAGGCACCATATTTAAAGCCCCCAATCTGGAGATTACTTCTTTCATGGATGCTAGAAAGACGTATAAGAGAAGACCGAGAATTTCTCTGATTCGGTCGCTTGTATTTTAGAGCATTAACTAATAATGTTTATTATATCACTATCTTAATGTCAATGGATTTTTAAACTAACTCTTTTAATACTCAGATATTCATAATATACATATTATATGCATACTTTAACTCGTTTCCAGTACCTTTTTACTGGTGGTAGAACTTTTTGTGAGTCCGCACGTACCACCACCCCGCCTATTTCTGTCGTGAAGCAGTAATGCGTTTCGGTCTGAAGGGTGGGGGTGGGCTATGTATAAAGTGTGTAAAGGGTATGTGCGTGTATAAAGTGGGCTGTGTGTAAAGCTCGTCCACCCATTTATGCTATAAAAAATAAAAATAAACCTTTTATTTTAAATTCTTTCGTTTCTGGCGGCAGTTGCGGCCTTGTAATCTCTATCCTGTCCAAATGGATTCTGATTCCGGCGTAGCCGAAGATCAATGTCTGCAGGAACCCTCCCATCCCAGTGAAGAAATTCGCAGCGCCGACCTGGGGGCTTTGCAACTCACTCCAGACCTAAACAAAATGAAAATACTAACAGCTCAAAAACAAAAAAACAAAAAAATTGAATTATTCACGTTTTTGAATCAAAATTTTTGTAAGTTACTTTTATAAGGTACTTCTTGTCTTTTTACTTTATTGTCGTGATAATTACAAGCAAATTTATTGAGTAATATCAGTTCAGCGATGTGTCACCACTATGTTAAGTAGCTACGTAGAAATATTTTTTAAGAAAATAAGAAGTACGGCAGTAGTAGTAGTACCCTCACTAACTCACTTTAAAAGGTTCTCTGACGTATTTCTGGTAGCTCTCGCTGAACATGGCTCCAGCCTTTGCTTTGTCTTCTACGTCCAAGTATCCTATAGTATGCATACTCCAAGTCATAGCTGGACCAGACTTCCTCGTAACTGATTCATAATAAACAATGTCGTTTTTTCTCGTCGTCCTGAAAGGACCGATGTTATTTTATGTTTAATTTAGATTCACACATCTTCAATCGATTTATCATTTAAATAATTTCGACAATAAATTATCAAATTTGCAATATTATTCTAGTCTTTATGATTTTTTAGTGTCTGGTGGTTTCTGGTTTTTTACTTTAGTAGGTATAATGTATATGCGGACGATATCGCGACCCGACTTTACTCTCAATAGGCGGATGACAATGTTTCCTATGATAAGTGCTAATGATTGTTTCTTCATTCGTCATTTAGTTAAATTCAGAGCGCAATTAATCGAACGAATACAGAAACAGATTTTGTTATAGGAACACTTCGTTGGTCTGTGTGCCTTTTCTTAATATTACATCAACGTTACTCTTCTTAGATAGGCCACTTTTTTTCTCGTTCCTAACATACCCTGATGAACAAATTAAACAGTTCAAAAACCATTAATTAATCCCGCAATCACTATACTTACGAGATAGCAAAATTTGATGCACACCATTTAAAGGCCCAAATATAATATTTTTTCCTGACGTTGTCCAGTGAGACAGTTATGAAAACTAGAGGTCCCGCAGTAGTCGAAATTCGATTATAATTAATTGGAATTGTAAGTTTGTACACTATTATTATTGTATTTTATACTTCTATAATCACAAATTTCGCCAAGACAACACTATAAAAAATATTAACTAAGACAAACAATATTTAATCTATTCTCAATTTGATAACAGATGTCAAGAACAAATGTTTGACAATAAATAGTATGCATGCGTGTGTGCGTCAAATACATGGTATGTAGTGTGTGTAATGTTTTTTTATTGATTTAATGTATCTTTTATGCATTACTTTAAAAAATATTAGCATTGTGCACTTCTTCTCTATATTCTCTATAAGTGTGGATAATTTCATACTCCTCCGTCCGCGCAATTTTCGTAGAAAGGGATACAAAGTTTTTGCTTCACGTACTAATATATAGATGCCTAATAAGATACAGGAGGGAAAGAGAAGGGCATATAATTAATACACTGTCACATAACCAAAAAATGTTGAAAAATAATTTTTACTTGGAAATGGCGTATTTATCTATACTAATATATAAATCTACAGTGGTTTTTACAGATGTTCCGTTACTACTGAACCATGCGTCCGATTAACTTGAAACTTGGTATCCATGTAGAAAATACATGTGCTTAATAGATAGGCTAATATTTATATGAATGTTGACTCCCTAATAATAATGACAATAATTAATAATGTTAATTTTAAATGCCCAGCGAAGCGGGTGAGTACGGCTAGTAATTAATAAGATACGAAAAATTCGTGACAGAAATCGGTGTCGCTGTGAAAACCACTAATGCAGTCTTGCAAAATAGTCTACTACCACCAGCATTTGTGGGTTTTTTTATTATTTGTTCTTTGACTCACGTATTCATTTTATACAACAAAGGGTATCCTAGTAAGACCGCGTCAGCTTGTTTGATGGACTCTCCGCGCACGTAGCCTTCGTACTGTGGATGATAGTCGTTTTTCTCGTCGTAAGGCAGATAAAGACTCCACGCTATATCCGCCCAGTGATCCGGGTCTTCCACTGAATAATACGATTTGCACAGGCACGATACATATCTGAAAAAATGAATTTTAAATGACAAACGGATTACATTTTTAAGATAAAGAATGAGCCTATAGAGATCACAATGTGGGTTCTGACACCTAATTGGGGTCTCAATGGTATTGTCCCACTTTTCAAACCGGATTGAATTGTAGCTGAAATTTGTCGAATATTGGTCCACCAGTAGACGGTAGTAGACTGGTAGACCTGGGTATAATACCCAGAAGTCGCTGATGCCCATACTCCGCTAAATTCCTTATTAACTTTTTACTAGTTCCACGAATAGACACAATGGTGCTTAGACTCTACATAGCCGAAATTGATTAGAAGTGTTGAGAAGAAGATTGAAAGTTACCATCCTGCGTGTTACTGGAACTAAGCTGTCATACTACATTATCATATGTGATAAGCATTCGGTAAAACATTAAAGTACACGTACTGGGCTAAGTACAGCGAATATCCGGCTACGACGTTGGTGAAGGCTGAATTGTTTATGTTGCTGTGATCTTCGTCGGGTCCCATAACGTCTGCAAAGAAAGCACACATCATTGCAGTTCCGGATTCAGACAATTGAGAAACATTTCGCGAGGTAATTAGCAGGGAATAAATTCATTGTAATTGGTGGAGGCTTCGCCGTGTCCCTGGCATTGCTGACGTCTATGAGCGACGCTGACTACTTACCATCAGAAGGACCTTATGCTTGGGTACACCCAAGGTATAATTAAAAAATATAATAGTTTACATCTTCTACGGTTTTCCCGCGTCTCTAAAGTATTTGAAAATTCGGAAATATTATACTGACCAATAATAACTATGTAGGAACGGAACGGAATGGTATGGATGGATGACAGATTTGGAAACTGGATGAGTAAGAGATAGGAGATGTCGTGTAAGGAAGTAAGAAATACGTGATGCGGAACACCTAGTTTTATTTTTTGTGCTAGAAAAGGCGGGTACCGATTTTCTAATAAAATACGCACTTAACAAATGTTAACGATTAACTTCCACGGTAAAGGAATAACATCGTGTAATAAAAATCAAACCTGCAAAATTATAATTTGCGTAATTACTGGTGGTAGGACCTCCTGTGAGTCCGCGCGGGTGGGTATCACTCGCCTATTTCTAACGTGAAGCAGTAATGCGTTTCGATTTGAAGGGTGGGGCAGCCGTTGTACTGAGACCTTACAACTAAAGTCTCAAGGCGGGTGACGGCATTTACGGTATAGATGTCTATGGACTCTGGTAACCACTTAACACCATGTGGGCTCTGAGCTCGTACACCCAACTATGGAATAAAAAATGATAAAAGTACAGTACTCACTTTCAATATCGTATAGTCCAGTATTATAATTGATGACCGCTCTAGAAGCCCAAAAGTCAGCTATATTCGTAACTATATCGCATCCGCCGTGCTGGAATATTTAAGATTTTGATTACAGAGAGAAAACGTACAACTGAGACGAATCAAATGTTACCGGATTTTTTCGGGAACGAACAGTTACTTATGGCCCGAACGGCTTTTGACATACTCCAGGACAGGTTGATGAGCATGGACTTACCCTGAAAGATGGTCCAATGTTGTTGTTCGGAACTTGTTTATATGACATGTGAACTTCTGTTGAGAATGTCGTAAGCGAATTTCACGCATTTGTCAAATATGTATCTTGTGTTTTTTTTTATAACTACCCGCTACAGGACCGCATGAGGGTCGTGTGAGTTGGAGCATTTAGTTTTTACTATGTTCCGTCCTTATACGAGTATATTTTATAAGGTTCGGCAGGAAGACAGTAAGGATCGGTTTGTGCGTTCAAGATACAATTAATTAATATAATTTGTCTATTTTTATGTTTTATAATGTATGTAATAATAAAAATATTTTATTTTTAAACATTACCGATCCAATACAACGCCAATCCAGGTCGGTGGCGGTTCCCATGTGCTCCAGTGATTACCAGCCGGACAGCGAGTACATTGGTACAATGGTATTGACACATAGCTTCCTACGGATTAGAACTGAACTAAAACAAACCTTCAGCCACTCCTCATTCCTGGTGGTAGCCAGGTACTGCCTCACGGCAAACGAGATGCAGGCGGTTATATGCTGTTCGTACTTTGCGACCTCTGGACAGCACGGCTGTGTCACTTCCACCCCTGTGTATGCACTCTCCCATGGAAACCTAAGAGACGAATAATTATTTCCTTACATTACAAGTTAGATTAGTTTTCGTTATCGTGTTGTTTTGTCTTATCGTTGTAAGGAACATTGTGTACAAACTTAGCACATTTGTCTGGTTTAGTCGTGCGCACATGGCCTATATTATAAGCCTGATTTTTACTTGTTATTTATCGTGTATCTTTTTAGTTTGTAATGCGTATTGTGTGGCTAAAAAATAAACGAAAATGTATTTTTTATACATTTAAACCAGTTAATTCTCGATAGTAAAAATCGTATTACCATGGTTTAAAAGCTTTTCTTATTGGTTTGGCGTATGGATAAGCTTACGGTGCATCCGGAGTTAACTGGTTACCAGAGTTCATGAACGGGAACAACGTAAAAGCGGCCAAACCCATCTTAAAATAGGAGACAGGATGTGGTGCTTACCTATAACCTTTGTGTCCTGTGACCTTCGCCAGCTGAGCAGCCACGTAGGCTACGTCAAGCCTGTATTGGAGCAATTTCTCCGCATACTTCGGATATAGAAGTAAAATAGAAGGAAACATCCAGATTTCGGTGTCCCAGAAATTGTGACCTAGAAAATGATTTCGAGAATCTCAATTTCGTTTCGCAATATTAATCAAATAATCGATTCTCTCAAAGGTTGGTAAGGTAACATTTCTGAGGTTATCGTTACAATGCAATCCAGGATTGCAGGACATGTATCGCGATAGCCAGCAGAGTCTATGGAGAAACTTGTTGTTCAGGGTAGGGTCAATGATAAAAGACCTCTTGGACGAAGCCCCAATTGCTGGACTGATCAAGTGAAATACCTTACCAAAACCCCACTTAACGAGTACGTACGCCAAGCCTCAGTTTGCGAATTATGAAGAACAGCTGTCAAGGCTTTAATAAACAAGGATTTCATATGACCACGACTGCTCTGCCAAAAGTAAACGACTATGTGAATCGATTCTCGCAATAGATAAAAATATCAATAGCACACGTTCTATGATTAAATTTTAAAGTAAAACTGTATGTGTGGAAGCTGTGTGTGCTTAAACGTGACTATTGTTCACTTTATCAAAATATGCGGGAGTACCTTCGTAATCTTCCAAAGTCCCTCCTCTGGCGAGTCCTGTTGGGCTGAGGCCGTAAAACCTGCCTAATGGCTGATGTGAATCCTCCGAAGGCAACGAACTGAGGAAGTAGTACCAGATTGCATTTACAACCTTTGCCTAAAAATTGAAATATATCTTAAAGTCTAATTGTAACATCATTTAACATTATTTTGTTCCTGTCGTCAGCCCCGAATTCAAAAAGATTGTGGTCACAAAACAAAAGTTGGTACATACTCCTGAAAAATATATCGATTTTTATTAAAAATGTCCCATATCATTACTCCAAATATCACCCAAATAGGTATCAGCTGGTGCACGAAGTGATCGCGCGCGGGCCTTTTTTATTGAATTTACGGGCAGACGAGCACAGAGCCACGCATTGAGCATCAGCCAAGCCAAGCCAAGCCGCTGCCTACTACTCAAACTTTGAGGTTATTCAAACGACTATGCCTCAGACTGTGTCAATGTCAACTTATCAAAATAAAAGTGTTTGTACTTAATGAACTGCAAAGAAATTAATTTGATGACCGCACTAATTTATTAATGATTTTTAAATAAACATACAACTTTCAAATTCCCTTCAATTTCAATGTGAGCTTGCTGATGAAGCTTCTGCCACTCGGCCACGTGCTTATCGTAAAGCTCTTCTCCGTCTTCTTGTAGAACTGAAACGACAATTTTATGATATTTTAAGAATAGGAATTGCACTATGTCCTATGTTTCACTGGCGTTCATTTTAAAATAGTTTCTTTGCGCTGTCGTATGTTCTCTAGAACCTACCTCAAAAATGATAGGTGAGATTTTTACTTCTTGATACTAGAATTCTCAAGCAAAAACTGGGTTAGCCGAATAAATAAATAAATAATCCAATGCAACCGAAACTTCAACCTGAAGAACAGAAACAGGCAGCCGTGTGACTACCCTTGATATTTTCTGTCCGCCAAAGCTAATAAAATCCGGAATTATCAATACACTCATTTATCTCTGCGATTGTATACTTAATACTGAATTCTCAAAGTTCGACATAGTGCGTTCTCGTGTGCTTTAAAGCTTTGAGTCTATTTTTTTTAAGTTGTACTTTATTATCTGTTCATATAGAAAAATTTACCCGCACCCGAGTACTCATTGTTGATAGCATGTCTGCTTTTACAATCTTAATCGAAAGCGAGACGAAATTTATAAAGTATATTTCTGAATATTATGAAGCCAATATCTTTCTATCTTCTATATATATAAAAATGAATTGCTGTTCGTTAGTCTCGCTAAAACTCGAGAACGGCTGGACCGATTTGGCTAATTTTGGTCTTGAATTATTTGTGGAAGTCCAGAGAAGGTTTAAAAGGTAGATAAATATGAAAATGCTCGGAATTAAATAAAAATAACAATTTTGTTTTTACTTTGATGTGTTCTCCATCGGACGGATCCTTTTGTTTGTTTTAAGTTTATTTTATACAAAAGTTTAGTTCTTTAATTTATGAAATGAGGCACTACGAAGTCTGCCAGGTCAGCTAGTATTATAATAAAGTAATAAAATGGTATACCTACTCGTAAAAATATAATTGAAGTTCAACATATTTTTGATTAGTAAAAAAATACCTCTGATCATCTCCTCTCTGGCAACTGTCCTATTGGTATCCGCTGTCATAACAAACGTGAAAACCCTGGACCCGTGCTGCGGGGCCACCAAGTGATCAGGCACCGACGTCCAGAACACGCAGACCTCCACCGGCAGTGGCTGATATACGATATCCTCCGATTTCAAAGTTTGACCACACGTACTCCGGACTGTGCGTCCTTCAATTATCTCGGGAACGGGATCCTTGAAGCCGATATCCTCGCTATCCGGTCCAGGAATTAATTGTATCGCAATCCATATCTCGTGGCGAACAAAATTTGGTTCTAAAAGTATTTATATACATTTTCTATGTGCAAAATACTAAGAAACACACTTGCTCGGTATGTTTATAAGGCGCTTTTTGGTACTAAAGCGACAATAAAATTGTAATGAAATAAAAGGTGCTTAAACTTAACGGACGGAGTGTCGTTGCAATCTGTGAAACCGGAATCTATATGTCTTTAATAATTATTTTTAAATTAGAAAGCTTAATTAAAACACCAGGAACATACTAAAACAAAATATTAACATATTTTTTTCCTACCTAAGCTGGTAGCCTATAGAGGCTATTCCAGCGGAACCCTAACTAGTAGGTGAGCTCACGGGGCTCAAACCTGACGACGATGCTAACACGAACCCTAGCAAGAGTCGTGCTTCGCAGAATCTACCACCGGATCGGAAACGCGACCCACTGAGAAGATCCGGCGAGAAACTCAGTGGGAGTGGGCTGTGTCTGAGAGTTAATTTACTCGTCGAGCCCTTCGTCGCAAGCGACGGGTTCGACGAGAACGGTGACTGGTGCTTGAAGTACCTAGAAGCACCGTTAGTGGATCGGGAGGATCCGAGATGACGTGTTTTGGGCGACGTCGACTGCTTTCCATTCTGTCCGCAGGATCGAGAATGTAGTTACCGGCGGCCACGATGAGAGGGTTCTCGTGTCGTGCCGCTTTATCGAAGTGGAATATTAACAAAGCCCTATGATCAGGTAGGAAAAAATACACCTATAGCACCAGAACTCCTTCACCCTAATAGCAAGAGATGCAGTCCATAAATTATAAACTAATAATATATTTTTCTGTGACTCTTCTTTTTTTGTTTTATTGATATAGTATTTAAGATTTTTTCAGTAAAACCCAATTCTATTATTTAATCACATAATAAAATATTCTATAATATTATAGGGATTATATCCATAAATAACAAGGATAATTATGGAAATAATAATGTTGTGTTGCTATTCACAAAATTAAATATGTACAAAAATTTATCCTCGAGTGAGTTTAGTTGATTTCGACCAAATAGTTACCATTGCCTGTTCAGAGCACGAACTTTCTCCACAAGCAACAAACTGAAAGTCAGACCGATAAATTAAAAATAAACTCACCGGCGTGCGCTTTAGCCATAACTTGGATCTGATTAATAATAGCCCTCGTGTAATACCGATGAGCGAATATCCTCTGCGTCACAATCGACCTCTCTCTATCAACTCTGACTTTAAAGGCGCCTTCTTTTGTATCTAAAGAGTAAACTGGACTGTACGGGATGTGCGATAAGGTCGAATTCAGTCTGATGTTGGCCCAGTTAGGTATCCTAGCACGATGACTCTCGCCTTTGTTCCCGTTATACAATCCGTTCATGTAGACCGTATCGCTGAATACGTTCGCTGCTACGTGACCATTGCCTATAGACGCCATGAATCTATCGTTGGTTGGCAACCTATAAAAGAACCATAAGTTTATATACTATTTTCAAATGTTCTGTAACCTTTTTTCTTCTCCTACCTATGCTGATAGCCTTGAGAGGCTATATCAGCTTCGCCCCAAAGTGTAGGTGAGCTCACGGGGCTCAAACCGGAGTGATGCTCACACTGACCCTAGCAAGCTAGCAGTGCTTCGCAGAATCTGCCACCGGATCGGAAACGCGACCAATGAGAAGATCCGGCGAGAAATTCAGTGTCTATGGGCTAATTCGCTCGTCGAGTCCTTCGTCGCAAGCGACGGTTCGACGAAGACGGTGACCGGTGCTTGTGGTACCTAAAAGCACCGTTAATGGATCGGGAGGATCTGTAATGACGTGTTTTGTGTGACGTCGACTGTTTACCATTCGGTCTACAGGATCGGGTATGTAATTTCCAGCGGCCACGACAAGAGGGTTCACATGTCGTGCCGCCTTTTCAAAGTGGCGCAATGATGCCGACTGTAGATACTTACTGACTTATTCTGTAACCATTGCGGCGTGTCGGCCATCGGGGAAACGATAGGCCAAAAATATTAACAATCTTTCACGAGTGCAAATCGGGAAAATGAATTGCATCTGATTTAATTCGGGTTTAATATAATTGTGAAATGGTTTAACATAGGTATTTGTATTTAAGTAAAACTTGATTTTGAAAACGTGTGCAATATACAAGTATGGGACCTGTATACTGCTATTTACTTTTACGGGCTACCAATCAAGGTAATATCGTCTCTAGATTAAACCAATATTAAAGTCTGATTTAAGCTAAATTTAAAAATCGTGACATATCTTACCTGAATGTGGAAAAAACTTTAGGATCGTTGTTGATATCCTCAGGCTCTTCATCATTGGCAGCCGCATGGCCACCTTCGCTACCTTTAGTTGTCATTACAACGACGACCAAAGCGGCGACGGTGAGTAAGCCCATCATGGCCGCCACTTGTTTATTTCGCGTCAAAAATCGCCACATCCACGCGATTTTAATAGAGGCACAGCAAATATTGAAATTCTAAATATTTATCATATATAGAACAAAACAATAAAACTATTTACGAATTCGAAAATGTTTTAAATTAAAATTTTGATACTAAATAAACGAAATTTCGATTTTGGAATTGCATATTAAAATTCGGAATGAGTCAAATGTTACGCGAATTATGTAGATAGGCGGGAACGCTCGCCGTGTTGGGATGCAGTCGTGCGTCCCTCCCAGCGCCAACGTACAGATTACGCGACCTGCTATGACACACTTATTGCTCTATTAACAAAGATAATAATAATGTACACGGACGCCTGGGTCACGTGTTCTGTTCAAATGCATAATTATGTGTTTTGTTTGTGTTGTAGTCAGCACGTCATTACAGGTCCTCCTGATCCATTAACGGTGCTTTTAGGCACCACAAGCACCGCTCACCATCCTCGTTGAACCCGTCGCTTGTGACGAAGGGTTCGACGAGCGAATTAACCCATAGACACAGCCCACTGAGTTTCTCGCCGGATCTTCTCAGTGGGTCGCGTTTCCGATACAGTGGTAGATTCTGCGATGCACTGCTCTTGCTAGGGTCAGTGTTAGCAACACTCCGGCTTGAGCCCCGTGACCTCACCTACACACGTTAGGGAGAAGCTGAAATAGCCTCTCAAGGCTATCAGCATAGGTAGGAAACGTTGTAGTCCTAGGGTACCCCGTTGGTACACAGGGCCCTCACAATGGGTTTCATAAACTATTTAAATTTAAGGACTTGCAGGTTTTTAGCCCACAGAGTCCCGATCACGGTGATGGGGCTGCCATCGTTGTGTCAGTGCCCACAGAGACAGACTTTCTAAACGAATGGTTCACGGCTTTTGGTAACCTTACTGCGCCGATTACCTCACATTGGTTTTACGGTCAATACCCTCTGGACTAGCCCTCCTCCTTTTGCATCCGGGCTTGGAACCGGCAATGGCGGAGTTAGGCATCATTACAAAAAAAATATTTAGGAAGGAATAACGTCGTGGCATACGCGGAATTATTATCCTCTTATTGAAATCACCTCGGTTTTCCTATTTGTTATGACCTTGACCAGACGAGCTGGTATTGGGCTTCGAAAGCCGTAGATATCACAACGTTGAACCTCCAACCATATTTGCAAGGTCAAAGCCTCGATTGCGTTGTAAACTCTTCAAAACAGAACGCACGATCACTTCTCGTCAAAAATAGGCCGGATATCTACACTTGCGGTCTTACAATATGCCACCAGTACCTAAGTCCCAGTTGATAGATTTAATATTCGAAGACTACTGCTGCTTATACAGCGAACGCTTTAGTTGCCTTTTGCGATACCTACGGGAAGAGATAGGGGCAGTGCTAGTGCAGACACCACACGGTTATAGTCAATCCGGTTCGTGACCAGATGATACGTGTAATCTAAGGCCCTTTGACTATCCATTTCATTATCCATTCGTAGTGCTGGTATTTTATATCATTTTTGTACCGAATTATATTGGTGGTGGATAGTGGGTGTGTAATTTCGGTCTTTATGATTGTCGGCCGTTCTTGAGACATTCATGTTATGTCACGACAAATAACATAGGTAGTCTTTCAACTACAACGCATGATTGCTTCGTTGCAAAAATAACCAGAGAGGTGGTGAAACCCTTATGTGTGGGCTTACAACACTGGTCGTCTTTTTTAAGTTTCGTATCTAAATAGCGAACAAGAACCTCTATAATTTCTGTCCGTCTCTGCACTCTGCTATTTTAATCCTATCAAAATCACATTGGCACTGTTATACCTAGTCTTTCCATAAATACTGAGACAGAGGAAAAAAAACTTCTAATGCAAATAACATTTATTACTTTTACAGTGTGTTAGTTTAATACATAAATATGAAACAATTTAAAGTATAAAAAGCTTATTCGAAGTGGTCTCCATTGGCTGCAATACAGTCCTTTAAACGTTATCCAGTTATCCATAGAAGCACGCACTCTTTCCATGGGAAAAATTTTCACTGCCAATCGTACGGATTGTTTTAGGGACTCCAAATTATCATGGCGTTTAAAGCAAGCCGTACTCTCTAAAACTGACCATAAATCATAATCCAGCGGATTAAGATCGGGACTAGACAACGGCCAGTCTTCAGGAATTAGTACCCATTATATTATATATTTTTCATTGAAAACAAACAAATAACAGACCTCTATACTGATCAGTCCATTCATTATCGTGGTCATTACAGAAACTATCATCAAATATAACAAAGGTCAGTCTAGATATTTCTCGAACATGTATAAGTTAGGAGAGAACTTTCAAATAATAATTACTTAACCTTTAATATGTTACAATAAAAATTACATCGTGCGCAATGAGAATAAAAAGCCATAATTCAAGATGAGCCACTAAACACTAATCTCATTATATCCGCCTACGCAGTCATGGCAACCCCAATCCTAGACAAGTTGCTGAGATAATTCAATCGTCACTTCCTCATTCTGAGCGCGTGGCCGACAGAACGTATCAAGATTATTCAACGCTAATACCACAGATAACACCTCCCAAAAGGCACTGCACTAACGTAAAATATTAAGTTTGGCTATTTCTTCGATCAGATCGGATACACAAATGCTAATTACTCATTAAATTATCTATCAACAACCTTACCTTGTCTACGAAGCTCTAGACCAAGCTATAATCAAGCAAGAAATTAGGATTATATGATCATTTACTGGTAATACTTTCGTACTTCAAGTCTGCTTAGTAGCAAACGTATGCAAACGTGCCAACTCCATACAAATTTTGAGTTAACTTTTACGCTATCGAGAACGTTAAAAAACTCGCACTAAGAACACAGATAGAATGGATGTCAAACGTTAAAACAAATCAGCAAATCTTTCGTGGAAACAAACACCGCATACAAGCTGATCTATGAGCGGATGTGTTATAAGTCTATGAGTAATGATAATGTTCTCAAATAACTTATTTAATTATCTCGAGCTGGAAGGTCAGTGACCGCGGTCATTAGGCTATTCGACTCGCGGCCACCGACGCGCCAGGCCCGTCTTAAGAAAAAATCTGAGGGGTCCGTGTTGCACATAGCGGGTATATTCATAACAAGTATCTACAAAAATCAGGCAATGGATCGAATTTACATTAATCGCGGTAACGTTATGCCTTAAAGGCAGAAGACATTTTTGAGACTTCAAGAGGTTTTTTTCTTATTTCCCGCTAGTAAAATGATACCTAGAGCGACAATGCCGCTACCCAACCTTGAGATAAAAAAATATATTTGTATCCCCGTAATGCCTATCCTATAATGGCCTATATCCGATCAGTATCTACAGTATCATTAGCTACTCTAGTTTATAAATACTGTGGATTTAATTTTACGGCAGTTTATTACATAATTTTGAAAGTAGTTTTTTTTTTTTCAGTCTACGGACGTCCACTGCTAGAGACTGGCCTCTCCCGTAAGGTTCTTCTTCTGTTTTGCGCACCCTACATTGGTTTTTAGTTAGCATTTACGGCTTAGTCGCGTTTTTTTTTAAATATCATTAGGTATATTATTTTCCACATTACGAATACTTTATAGTTTTCGTGCTCACGAACGATGAAGGTGTCAGATTCGTCGACTTATTAATATTGTGCTAACTATCGTCTCTTTTTCTATTAGAAAAAATACGTTTCACTTCATACCGTACGAACTAATAGTTAATGGCAATTAAATACTCGAGATATTAATATTACCCGATTATAGTTTTAATTATGTCTACGACTCAAGAAAGCCGTAGAAAATGTTATAATTCTTAGTAATTTCTCCATAATAATTTCATAATAAGCAGTGTGTATAATATAGTAACAATAATCAACTTATACCAACATTGGTATATTAGTATAATATAGCTGAGATCACGAAACTCCTCCCGATCCACTAACGGTGCTTTTAGGTACCTCAAGTACCGGTCATCGTTCTCGTCGAACCCGTCGCTTGCGACGAAAGGCTCGACGAGTGAATTAACCCTCAGACACAGCCCACTGAGTTTCTCGCCGGACCTTCTCAGTGGGTCGCGTTTCCGATCCGGTGGTAGATTATGCGAGAACGGCTCTTGCTAGGGTTCGTGTTAGCAACGTCATCAGGTTTGAGCCCTGTGAGCTCACCTACTAGTTAAGGCGACGCTGATATAGCCTCTCAAAGCTATCAGCTTAGGTAGGGAAAAAAAATCAGGAAACTATTGAAATAGTACCTCGTGGTAAGATTAAACTAGTGCAATAAGTTTAATTTTAAGATTATTTTCTCACCTTTTACTCGTTAGTGCCTTTGAGAGCCTCTGACCAACAGAGCTTCTCAAACTTTTATCGCACAATCTGCGTGCAATATTTTACAATACACTTTCGAAGCAATCCGTATTAAAATTCATAGTCTGGTTGTTAATTTAGTACCGTTTTTTACTGAATGACTCAACTGATTGTGTAACAAATGTATGTATGTAACAAATGCACTTACGTATTTGACAACAAAATAATGTTGCATTCTGTTGCAAAATCTAAATTATCTTAACATTGGACTGATTCGGCTTCAGACATCAGATTTGCAGATGTTTATGCAAATAAATAAATACTTATATGTCTGCGAAGACAAAAGATCACTTATTTTTAAAAATACCGTGCATAATATTCAAACTACTATTACTAGTTTAAAAGTTATCAGAGTACACCTGAATGATTTAATGAACACCTTCACATATTATAGATAATGAATATAATTTGTTTCAACTAAAATGTCATTAAAAACATACTCGTTGAATGTAAAATTCTGTTATCTATACCAACGGTTCCAAAAATAGTCACAGCCCTGAAACAACGAAAAAAATAACTCAGCGCGCTAACATTTTGTTTGTATTCCATTAAGATACTTATTTCATGTTCTCTTTTTACAGGCATCAACAATTTAATATTAAAAATAAGAAAATCGTCAATCTACTTTGAGTAAATTTAATATAATAAAAATAAAGGATAACTCAAAAAACCACTGGTCAGATCTTGATAAATGGTATTACAGGAGAAGCTACGATTTTCATAAAAAAAAAAACGATCATCAAAATTGGTTCACATAGAAAAAGAGGTAACACACATAAAATAACACAGTCGAATTGAGAGAACCTCTCCCACCTCGCCTTTTTTAAGTCAGTTTAAAACAAGGAAATACAAATGCGATCATAGAATGAAGCTGTCTCGAGCAAACAATTTACTCCCACTTTATC